TGTACAAACTTTTAGAGAAGCCCAAGAATATTCATTTATCTATCATCTATCATCTATCTATCTATCTATCTATCTATCTATCATCTATCTATCTATCATCTATCTATTTGCCTTTTTGAAACAGGGTCTCACTGTGCAGTTCAGGCTGGCTTTGAGCTCACTTTGTAACCCAGGCTGGTCTTGAACTTGCGATGATCCTCCTGCCTCAGCCTCCCGAGTGCTGGGATTACAGGCAGGGGGCACCATGCCCAGCTATCCAAATATATTTTTAAGCCCCTGTTACATGACGGGCATAGTAAAGTTTCTGTAATACTATCAATGGGAATACAAATTAAATCTTCTTACTCTCATGAGCTTCAAAGTCTGTAGGGTTCCTGTTTGTCATATCAACCTTGTATAGATAAACTGTCTACAAAAGCAAAGTGGTGAACCAGGAAAGTAGTCTTCTTTGAACTATCTAATAGCAGACTACCTGCTTTTTAGGATTAGCTGGTCAAAACAGACCAGGTCTGTTTCTTTCCTGTCCCCATGTTCTATTTGCAGTCTCAGTATCAAGTAGTCTAATTTCAACAGCTTGGAGCAGAGCAGGGTTCAGAACTTCTTTTGTGTCTGACTTATACTATACAGACCAAAGAACAAAGGGCAAAGATGCCATAAGGTGACCATCAATAGAATTTTGGAATGGTGACAATGTACTGCTTTTTAGATTGTCATGAATTATCTCAAATTCTACTCCACATGGTAGCTGCAACTCTAAATTCATTTTGAGTGGGGGCTGTAGAATGTTTCTTGATTCCATTCTTGCCTACAAGTCTCACTCAAAGAGTTTGATGGAAACTTTTCTTTATCTATTAATAGGCAACATTTTTTGCCTTGCTGACCATAACATATCCTCTTGTAGGATGGGATAAGGAATGTCCAGAAACATTTGGAAATTGTAAATAAGAAAAGAAATAGATGATAAAACAAAAACAGAATAAAAAGTTTGTTGGATGGGATTCAGAATGGATTGGACAGCACAGAAGAAAATAACTGAACTTGGAGACACATTAATACACATCCTCAAGTCAGCAAAGTTGACTCAATTTCAGCAAAGTTGACTAAATAGGAAAATAATTTAGCATAAACCTGGCGTGTGAAACTCCTACTCTTTGCCATATGTAAAATTAGAACCCTACGGTTAAAGGAGATGAAATGCACCAAACAATTTTTGAAGAAATATTATTTTTTTGTCAAAGAAGAAGCCCATTATTCATGTGTTCAGCAAGCTTCATGGAAAGTAAATATACAACTAAAAACATATATTATGAATTGTAGAAAACAAGATGTATACACAGATCTTTAATGTTTACCTAGAAAAGACTTAGTACATACCAGGAAACTATGAGAAGTATTTAATCAGAAACATGGAGGTCAGAAAAAAAGTGGAAATCCTTTGGAATGTGGTTAGAACAAAACTTACCAATGCAGACTTCAAGTGAAAGTGTTCTTCAATTCGGGCAATTTAATGTGATATCAAAATTTATATCAAAGCTAATGTCAGTGAGCCTTCACCATACTTTCTTTTCTAAGAGTTTTATGTTTCTGGTTTTATGTTGATGTCCTTAATATACTTTAAATTGGCTATTGTGTATGGAATATCCATGATATAAGATCCAGTTTTAGTGTTTTGTGTGTGGATATAGTTCCAGCTTCTTCAACTTTATATACTGAAGAGATTGTCTCTTCCCCAGTTTGAGAATGAATAACCCTCATAAAAACTCCCGTTCCAAGTTTTACGACTTGCATGTTGGTAAGAATTGTTATATATCTCAGTGGGTTATGGACAGTAGTGAACCAATTAGAGACCATGACAAATACAGCCCCAAATCCTGCAAAAGAAAAACTGGATGAAGTAAGATTATGAAGAGAAGGTGCAGTAAAGATCTCCCTGCAGTTTATCTGTACCCCTCACGGCACTGTACACATTATGCCAGAATCATCCTGAGGCCCGTGCTCACCAGCATGGCTTAGAACTAGTATTTGGGCTCTAGGAATTATGTTCATTCCTAACTGGAAATATGAAGAAACAATTGCCAAGAAATATGTAGGTGCAACTTAGAGATAATGAGATGGCAATCAAGTTGAATGCTTTTTCTAAGCCTATGAGGCCAGTCACCAGAAGGAATATAGCACTGTTGTTGAGTTTCAAGTTGGATATTTCTTTAGGAAATGGTGCATATCAACCATAGCAGAGCAATACAATCACCAGAATTATTTCCCAGCCACACACCCTATTCTTGACATGTCCTACTGGGACCATCACAGTAGGCTCACAGCTCTGCTCTGTTTTATGGGATTCAGCTCCCAAAACACAAACTGAAATACCAAGTCCTTTACTTTTTGTGGGCATTTTCTCTGATGTCACCATATCTCTAACATATAAAGAAAGACAGAAAGAAAAATAAGAAACTTTTGATGGGTTAATCAAATATATCTATTTACCTACTTTATAACAAACAATGTTATCCTTATATCCATTATATTAGTCTGATAAAACTGGCCTCAGTGTCAATAGAAGTACAGGGCAAGGAAAGAAATATTTCCTTTGATGCATCACAGATCATCCCTAATTCAAAAGCATAAGAAAAGGAAAACTCTAGCTTAAGGAGTTGTGGTCTTATATTTTTGAGATTATTAAATAAAACTACAATTTAAGATGTGCATCTCTTGAGAGCAGGAGAAGATACAAAGAGACACAGAGGAAACAATAGACGCATACAGCAACATGTTCACTTTAAATTTCATGCATTCATTTCGTTAAACATTCTATTTTTATGAAGCATAATCTATGTAGGCGTTCTGAAATGCAGCAATGAGGAAGAATATTACTATCATTCTGGTGAGCATACTGTCTGGTAGAAAGAAGAATAACCGAAGTAGCACTTAATAGAAAAGACATATAACTACTTAGTAAACACATCATAAACAGCAGGCCACTTGCCTGACCAGATGAAAATTATGCACTACCTTGAAAACTATTATAAAGATATAATTTCATTTTTCTAAAACCTATGTATCATAGTGGTTTTGGAAATTTATCACTTTTCTATGACAAAGGGAAGATGTGGCAATGATGGATTGAGGTGAATGTCAATGAGGGCAGGGGGAAATCCCAGCACTGGGGATGTCTACATGAAGAGAACTGATTTGTCACTGGGTGGCACCTTGTGGAATTCTAGCATTTCATACCCTATATTCTACTCATCTGACCATATTTTTTACTTGAATAAAACTCATCTTTTGAGCTGTAGGATATAGATAGTTAGGGGACCATAAAAGCACAAACAAGTTCCAGCAAGGCCTGGACAGTGAACAGAGTGAGTTGGGAAATATATCTGGGGTCAGAAAGGGCCTTTTTCTCCTGTAAGAACACTGTTTATATATTCTCTGTTCCTCCTCACCACACACCTAAGACCAAATAGTCAAGTCTTATACATTGAGTCCCCCAGGAATAGCAGCTAATCCAACTGAAGATGCACATTTAGATTGCACTTTTGATAATACAGTAGTGTATGAAAGTGCTTTTGCACTGCTATAAACCTGGCAAAAGCATTTTCATATAGTAAAGTAACCCAAATGACCATTATCTGAGAAATGGATAAAAAGGATGTGATGTTTTTATACAATGGAGTATTACTCAGCTATAAAGAAAGATAAACTCAAGGCTTTTATTGGTAAATGGATGTAAATAGAGACCATAATCATAAGTGAAATAAATCAGACTTATATGTGTAAACAACATATTGTCTCCCTAGTGTAAGAACTTGAAAGAGTACATAAAATATGAAAGGTACAATAGATATTGTAAAAGGGAAAGAAACTGCTCAAAGGGAAAGAACAACTTGGATGAGGGAAAAGAGAAAAGAAATAAAGAACGGGAAAATATATTTACACACAAAATAGCTAAGATAACTGTGATATACATTTTATTGGTTTATTGAAAGGACGAGTTAATGCTTAATTGTTTTATCAATTTTACATGCCTATATTTGTTAATCTGAGCAACTAATGTGAAGATAATATGCAACATAACAACTATTGTTAATTCCCTATCTTGTTTTGAAACTCTGTATCACTTTTGATGTTTTTTTTTTATTTTTTATTCTCTTTAAAGTAAAAAAATTTTAAAAAAGAAAATGCTTTTATCAATTCAATAACATCTGGCACAAACTCGTCAAAACAGTGGTTATCTGCCTTAGAAATTCTATCTCTATGTTTGATTTATTGTTTTCAGTGTTGCTATTTAATAAATGTGTACCAAAATTATGACTGCACGGACTTCCCACAGATGCATTTATCTTGCAGTTCACTCACCTCGGGATGAAGGACAGAACAATCCTTATCTCTTCACTCAGTGCAATATGCTAGAAACAGCAGCCGGCTACATATGAGGAAGACAACAGGAGGCTGATCCATAAGACTGTTTATGTGGATAGAGCAGTTTACGTGGATAATGTGGAAGACGACGGAGTTTGAGTCAAACTGAAGGGACCCACACCGTATATTCCCAAATATACAAATATATGTATGCCATATATACACGTGAGTACACACATGCATGCACACATGCATGTGTTTCATATGGCACGGACTTTATAAGCGGTGTGAGTTACTTTGGAAAGTGGTGGGCACAGAACTGGACACTGGAGATATGTTCTTATGTTGTACATGTATTATGTCTTATAGAAACTAAGGCAAAATGGCCAGTGTAAAGTGATATTTTATTTTATTTATTAATTTTTTTTTTGGTTTTTCTCCGGTACTGGGAACTGAACTCATGACCTTGCGCTTGCCAGACAGGCGCTTTGCCGCTGAGCTAAATCCCCAGCCCCTTAAAGTGATATTTTAAGTAGCAGGTGGTTTGGTTGGTTTTCACTAAAGTTCTTTTATCTTTTGGTTCTTACTTACTAGTTTTTCCAGGTTCCAAGAGTTATTTCTCAGAGAGCAGTGAATTCAAGTCAGGCTCTAGAAGAAGGCAGAGAGAATAAGCGAAGCACACTCACACGGATTTGCTTGGTCTTAATGCTATAGATGACGGGGTTCATAAAAGGAGGGAAAAGGAAGTAGATGTAGCTCATTGTGATGTGGACCACGTGAGGGATGTGTTTTCCAAACCTGTGAATGAATGTCAGCCCAACCACAGTGATGTAGAAGACCAGGATGCAGCAGACATGGGAAACACATGTGTTGAGGGCCTTGGCCCTTTCAGTTCTAGAAGCAATGCCCATGACTGTCCTGAGAATCAACACATAGGAGAAAACGATGATGAAAAAGTCCAACAGCCCCATAGCAAATATGACAACCACTGGATAGAGACGATTGAATGTGATGTCAGCACAGGCTAGCTTGATGACATCTTGGTGTAGGCAGAATGCGTGGGAGAGCACATGAGATCGACAGTAGGGAAAACAGTGCAGGCGAATGATGATGGGCATGATTGACAGGCCAGCCCTCGTCAATACGCCCACTCCGATCTTCATCACCCTCGGGTCGGTGAGGATGGAGGTATATCTCAGGGGTTTGCAGATGGCAATGAAACGGTCATAGGCCATGGCAAGCAAGACCCCCGACTCCACAATAGAGAGAGTATGGATGAAGTAGGCCTGAGAAAAGCAGGCTGCATGGCCAATCTGCCTGTGATTTGACCACAGGACCCCCAGCACTGTGGGCATTGTGGTGAATGTCACTCCAAGGTCTGTAGCTGCCAACATGGCTAAGAAATAGTACATGGGCTCGTGGAGGTTATGGTCATCCTTAATCAGAAAGAGTAGTGTTCCATTTCCAAGAATTATGGAGACGTAGGCCACCAATAAGGGGATGCAGATCCAGTGATGTGCCTTCTCGAAGCCTGGGAAACCAGAGAGTAGGAATGGTGAGGTCATGTTGTTGAGCCACACTGCAGACATTGCAAAGAGGAAAATCGTCTTCTCAGGCAATGCAATAGAAAGTAGTTCCTTAGAAGTTGCTTCTGGAGAATATTTCCTGTTCGTAAAGTGTTTACTTGCTTTGACTTCCAGCATTAGCAGAGATGATAATTTAGTCTTTCTTTGGAAATTTAAAGGCATCAAAGGATGTGGTATATATTGAACAATCCCACATAGTATTCATGACTTAATCTACATGAGAAGACAAGAGTATACTAGAAATAACCAGAACGTGAACATTATAGTCTGTTGATGTTCTTTTAAATCCTGTAATTCAGAAAAATAAAAGAAGAAATACACATAATTTGAACATGCTAGGATGGTACTGGAACTTACATGGTAGTTGTCACAAGTGTTTATCATGTTGACTGGGTACTAAGGGTGGACATAAAGGTTTCCCAGAAATTTCCCAGTCCTGGAACTTCAGGAGAAAAAAAAGGTTTCAAGCAATGTCAGAAGAGCTGGCAGACACATCTTGTTGCAAACCAATAAATGGAAAGAAATGATAGTGTACATAAGCAAATAAACATTTCAGCTGGAAGGAAAATTAAATTAAAAGTGTCTAAAGGCTTTTGAGAGCCTATAAATACAGACTTATATGTGTGTGATTCCAAAAAACATAAACCTTTATGTAGTTCAGAATTTTAATATACTGCACTACTTAAAAAAATTAAAATTTGACAATACAGATGTGATTTGAGTAATAAGAAGACTTTATGATAGCTCTCTGAAGACACTTTTGATAATAGCCTCAAAATACTCTTGCATATTATAGTATATTTGTAGAAGAAAAACAAAAATTGCTAATCTAGGCAAACTGGAAGCCAAAATTTTTTCAAAAAATTCCAGAGGCTGATGGGATTAAACAAAATTGTGAGGGTTCTTTGACTGATAATAATTATGAGGTATCATGCAGGCATCCAACTTCTGGGAATGAATAAGATGCATGATAGTGACATAAACCATGAAAATGGGGCCAAGTTTTTCCTTATCGGTATCGAGTACATATCTCACATGCTATGAAAAATTATATGGATGTGAATTCATGCATGAATCATCTGACATAACTTTCCCAGGAAAATAATATCTCAAAAATTATTGAGTTTAATATTCAGAAGTATTCAAGTGAAGTACTAGCAGTGCTATTTACTGTTTCTAACCATAGTAAACTTGAGCAAGTCACATATTCTCGAGATTTTGTGTTTTCATCTGTAAATGTTTCTAATGTTTTTTATGTTGCTTAGTGAGGCCTTTGACAAAAAGTCTCAGGACAGAATAGTGTTTCTAAAAGGGAGGTGTTTTGTAGGGAGGAAATTATTCTTCAGTTTTGAGATTTTGTTACTGTTATAAGAGATTTTGCAGTAGGTTGGTCCATATCAGGATTATTGGTCCAGAGGTAAGTTAAGTAACCCAATTTTATTAGGAAGTCTTTAAAGCAGACAGAAGATGCTAATGGTGTTTTTGATGTAATGAAATAGTCAAACCAGAGCTCAGCTGGACAGCAGATAAAGTGTCTGAGAGGCAGAGGAAAAGAGGAAAGTGGCAAGTGTGGAAACTTCTGAAACAGACAGAGGTGCAATGACCTTGAACCTGTAGTGGTTAGCCTGAAGGAGGTGGGCTGGAAAGCAAATCTGTCCTCCAGGGGTAGGAAAGAGGAGTGATAGCTCATTCCTGCCTTTAAATGAAGAGCTTAGTGTATATTCAGCTACTGCAGGGATAAAGAAGCAAGAGTGCAAAATCCAGATTGTTTATATCTCAGGTGAGCAATGTGATATTTTGATGTAAATATACCCTGGGAAATTGTTATCACAATCAAGTGAATGAATATATTTATTACCATACATGGTTTAAATTTTTTCATAGTAAAAATACTGGAGCTGTTCTCTTAGCAAATTTTCAACATACCTTAACAAGACTGGGGGAATAGGATAATATAAAACTTTGGTTGAAGTATCAGTTACATTAATACCAAATAAACATACAAAAGATGAGACAGAGAGAGAGAGAGAGAGAGAGAGAGAGAGAGAGAGAGAGAGAGAGAGAGACAGACAGACGGACAGACAGACAGACAGACAGGAGAAATGGGACCAGAAAGGGACAATTGTATTCAGAAGCAAATGTGAGGAGTAACTAACTGTTGAATTTTCTTCATGTATCGGTGCACTAGAGCAGTCTATACCCTTCATTTTTCTTGGCAGAATCTTTGCAATAACTTCTTTTTACTGCTTTATAGATTCATATTGGTTGTGGATGAAGATGAGCCACTGATCAAATGTCAGTTGCTTTTATCCACTGTGTGGATTACAGAGATTCCAGGAATGGGTGAAAGCTTTAGATCTACCGTCTAGATTGCTGCCTTCCTTTTCATGCTGAAAAATGGATTGGTTTTACTTCATTTACTCACAGCTGCCTCTGGGGTATGTGCAGTTATCTGTGAGTCTTGCAGTGATTAAAATCCAAGACTTTTGCCCATTCCTGCATCCCCGGTTGCACAAGTCTTTGCATTAGAGTTGATTAAGGGAAAGCTGATGTCCAAAGACTCACTCTGCCACAAACACAGAGGATTCCATACAAACATAACGAGGGGCTCCCTTGGACTTCTACCATACACATGCTTTCACTTTCCTTTTGGCTCATTTATTTTCTCTGACAGAATATCTCTGATCACAAGCATGTACTCTTTCCTTTAATGTTTTATCTCCTAATCTTTGTCCTATCCCTCTTTTTTGGATACAGCAAATCTATTATCCATATATCTATTTATGTACATGCCTTCTGTGGCACCATTCTGAATTCTTGATTATTGCCAAAGCACCCAGCACATAGTTTATGTTCATTTTGAGAGTCATTGCCTGGTTTGCCTATATAAGCAAACTTATTCTCTGTTCGTTTTACATCCCCGTCTTTAAGCAGATTCTCAAATCATTAAAACACTTAAGTTTGTCTGTTAGATTTTACCTCTTGGTAGATTCATTCTGAATGTAGATAAAGCTGTGAATCTTCAGAACCTGGAAAGGGCTTGTGGGTCTTTATGTAAGATACGAAAAGAGAAACTCTATCCTATTTTCAGTTCCTAAAGTACTGACTGCCTATGTGGCACTCTGAAGATTTCCAGGAACTCAAGGCATAGAGCTCTGTCAACCGTTATCCCTTATCTAGAAATACACACAGGCTCCATCAAGGCTTATGTTTGACTTGGCTTATTATTTCATAAACAGATGGCAGTGACTTTCTCCAGAATGTTTTTGAATCTTTGATAATTGCGGAGTATTCCTTGGAAAATATTCTGTCCTTGGACCTTAGCTAGAATTCTAAGAAATTAGCTTCCATGAAGGAAATTAGAGGGCTAGAATGAAGGTCCAAAAAAATTTGAGGTTCACACAGGAGGAGACAAAAGTAGAAATGCCAGTCATCCTCTCCATCTTCCAGGGTTCTCCCCTGCTGCCTCACGTGTTCCAGAATTTGCCCTTGGCTTTATTTTATGCCTCTAAAGCACTAACCCTTAAATGAACCACATTTTGGAGATGCCAGAGAGTCTTTAGGAACCATGAGCATTATTCACCTACTCTTTGCAGACTGCGCTATTACTCTTCCTTTGCAGAGAAATCAGCTACCCATTCCCTGTTTTGCTCTGTCCATGCTCTTGCAGTGAAATGTCAGAGAGACACTTCGTTACACACCGCCACTGACCTGAGATTTTGTTTTCTTCCACTTTTCTCTGCTATTTTGATATGAATTTCAGATCTTTAGCCTTGTGAAAGATTTGGCCGCAGCACTGTCTTTTCAGAATCTGCAAAAAAAGAAAAAAAGCATAGCTGTTATGTGTATTTATATTAAAGCATCACTCCAAGCGCCATTCCTAATTCGGGCCACTAATTGCAGCTTCTATTCTGTCCTTCCTCACTCTCTCCTTTTTTCCTATCTCCTGGTCCCCGCCCACCACCATTTCTTCCATCATTTTCACACTGAGCCTTGGGGATTTCAAGATTTTTTTCAGCAGTCTCCCACGTGTCTGTTTTTGACTTGAGACCTGAGGCTAGAATAACAAATTGTATCTCTCAAGATATGGAAGCAAAAGAAGATCCCTTAGTGATCTGTACTGGAGCAGAGTTCTTAGAGTATAATGTTCTCCAGATAGTTCTAGGAAATCTTATTCCTCATCCTTAAAATAAGGAGTTTTTGACAATTAGAGGAGTGCAGGACACTGGTTTTGTTTCAGTAAAAGAGTTCTCTTCCCCCACCTTTTATCCCCTGGTGTTAAAATATGACTACAGTCACTGTGTGCTTAGAGCCCTGTCTCATATAACTCACTTTCAGGAAAGGCAAACTACCATTTCCAGTGCTTACGTTCCCTTTTTTCCTTTTCTCTACATTCTCCGTTCCTATGTCCTCCAACCATATCAAGACAGGGCAGGGATTGGAGTCATTTCTCAATTAAGCTGTGCATAAGATATAAAAGACAGAAATCATAGTGCCAATGGTTTAGAAATTAGGTGTCTTATTGTGAGTGTGAGACAATTATTACTTCCTCTGTCACAATTAATCAAATTTATTTATTTTCACTTGTACTTAACATCCCTAATAGTATGATTATCTATTTGTGAAATAAACTCCATCTTTCATAATTTAATGGCACGTACATACCTAGTATTAAGTCATGGTATCAGTACCATGTGCCTCAGTTTCTGGTACCAAGGATGGATGATTTCACAGTCAATTTCATGCTTCTTGATGAATGCAGAGCATTTTTAATTTCCAGGTGAAAGCTACTTTCTCCTATTCTTAGCACAGTTTTCCTTTCAATGTGTACTGCAGGTGACTCACAGGTGTACGTATAGAGGATGTACAGAGGAATACAGATACACCTTGTGTCTAGCAAATGAGACATCATTTACTTTCAAGACTGATAATGTGAAATTAATTTATAATTATCAAGATAGTAAAGACAAAACAATATTGAGAAAGTATAATCAGAATATACC